GGGGGGGCATTTCTCCGTTTATGTGTATCTTCCTTGTGCAGGAGCCATGCTAATCTTCTCTGTATCGTTCCAATTTTAACGGATGTCGCGAAGGACGTCCATTCGAATTCGTGGCACTATTGAAATCTACCCAAACCAAAACAAGTGGCCCATTTCCGCTTGGAACAATGCAATCCGTTCGTGTTTATCCAATGTCCACATTATCTTGATCTTTATGACATCAAACATAACCACAACTATGGTGAGAGTTCTTCACACTACTTTGGGAGTGTGCCACTTTCTCTGTATCTTCTCTCTTGTGCTTGCTTGTGCGTGCACTCTCCCACCTTTATCATCTTCAGCTATTACCCTCCTCTCCCTTTTTTTTTTTTTTTTTCAAACCACACCCCTTCTATTCTGGGAGGCAACAGTCCGGTTGCTTATTACCAGCAAGCATGTTTTTACATCCAAGAGATAAAGGGGGGAAAACGAGAAAGAGGATCAGGTCGTCCCTTGTGGCACCAGCCGCCTAGCAAGGGGGGACTGTTTCAGGGCTTCCGTTCCCCAGTCTGTGGCCTGCCTTAGGGGGTTGCCCTTCTGGTCGGCGGGCTTGCTAAGAGCACCCAGTCACACAGCAGGGTAACCTCCAGGAGGGCAGGATGCAAGGGGGGGCTCCTTAACAGGTCCTCAGGCCGCATAACAGCTGTCTTTATCCTGTTACTCCCTCATACAGTACCTCGTCCATTCCGTATCACTATTCAACTATGCCCATAACCTCGTGCAATAACAAGTGACCTTTGGAGGGAGCAATCCATAGCACACTGGATGATAAGAATACACAGAGGAAGCACACAAACATCGAAAATAGAATTGAATCCTACAATTAAAAAAAAAACTTGCAAGAGAGTAAATTGAAGTATCAAAAAATTCGATTTACTTTGGGAATTCAAATAAAGATGTGCTAAATTGTAGTTATTGAACAAACCTAAAGAGCCTGGCACGAGGATTTTCAGTCCTCTGCTCTAACCTACTGAGCTATCCCGGCCGGCTTTAAATGAAAATCAATTCGAATTACCGTCTCTCGCCAAGTCAATCAACAGCACAAATTTCGAAAGATCAACCGCGTTATCAGCACCCACAGATTTCATCGAATTATCCGGGGGTCTTCTTCTTCCTCCCTCTTCCTCAAGCTCTAGATATGGTGCTTGCAAGCACCCAACCTATCAAGCCTGCCAATTGCCACACACCCTCCTAAATCCAACACCCCTCTCTGCACCACTCAAGAAGCCCACTGCAGATGAAGTGTCCACTCAGCAGGGGAGCGCAGCTCCCAGGATGATGACGAAGAACAGCAACTCGATGAAGATGAAGATCTGCCATGTGGAAGAAGAACCGCTGAAAGTGCAGATTCGGTGGCAGCTGACCAAACCCCAACAAGCACAGCTCATCAGCACTTGGGCGCCAAGCCCAGCTTTGGCTAGCCCCAGCTATGGTCGCCAGTGGCATGTGGAGAAGATGCCCTGCATACATGCCCACAATAGCGCAGCAGGGAAGCAACAGGACCTCCACCAAGACTCTGAAAAAAAAGCAACGAAAAGAACCAAAAGAACCCCAAACTTGTCGGCCTCTGCCTACTTCTACCCGACTTCCCTAGACCTACAACACAGCAGCCACCTACAGACCTATCTGACCGTCCAAACAGCACACATCTACGACCAAACAGTCAAGATCTACCTACATGCATCTAGATGGAAACCTAGACTAAGGGGACCCAAGGCTAGGATACACAAAAGAAAGACCTACGGGCCTACCTGTTTCCAGAAGGGCCGAAAACGACAAAACAACAAGGCTGAAAGGTTGAAGACTACAAAGTAGAGACTACTAGCGACAGCTTCAAGTTTCAAGCCCAATAAGGCTCAAAACCAGTCAGACACCACAAACACACTACAGTTCATGGGATCAAGTCTCGGGTTGACTTCAGCAACTGCAGAAAACGACAAAACAGTAAAGCCTAAGGGTCTAAGACTGCCAAATAGAGACTACTAGGTACAGGTCTAAGGATCAAGCCCAGCAGGGCTCGAAGCTAACAAACCAAACGTACAAATTACAGGTCACGGGATCAAGTCCCGCAAGGCCCAAACCAAGGAAACAGCAAACACAGTTAGTGTACAGTTCCACTTACCCAGTTCTGCCAGTTGCACCCGTAGCATCGTTTTCCTACTCACTGTAACTGGTCCCCTAACTAATTGCATCCCTCCTCATATCCTTCTTCACGTTGTTAATTATCCCTCCTCTCCCTTTTCATTGCCTTCTCTCTTTTTTTTTTTTTTTTTTTTGTTAAGACCATCCTGTCATCATCCTGTTGCAATGAACTGCAGATTCCCAGCAGGCTGTATAACTAAGTAGATTAGTTTTGTAATATTTTGGATGCTACTGGGCTTGATCCCCTGACCTGTTCCTTATTGGGACTTCCTTCTAAGTAGTTTTGTAGCTTTTGGTAGGGGTCAAGCCCTACCACTAGGGGCTTGACCCCTGTACTTGTCACTTGCCGGGGTCTCTCTTCTAGGCAGCCTTTTAGACCACTAGGCCGTTTCTTTTTTATCTTTTTTGGCTGTTTTTGTGTAGGGCCGTAGGGCTTTTTAGTGTTCTGTTTGTCTTAGGTCAAAGTAGAGGTCGTGTCTAAAAATAGGAGGAGGGCAAGGCACTTCGGGGTCCTTTTGCTCATTCTTCTTTTCACGAGCTGGGTGTGAGGTCACGTTGGAGCTGGAGTGCTATTTTTCAGTAGTGCGGCATCATCATCATCACACGCTGCTGGCGGCCATAGCTGGGGCCAAGCGGCTTTGTTGATGGGAGCACTGGGCTAGGTGCCCAAGTACTGAAGAGTGGTTCCTCCTATTTGTCCGCTGTTGGGGTTATGTCAGCTGCCACGAAGCAGCTCGGTGATGTCTTCTTCAATGTGGCAGGCCTTCATCTTCATGGAGTTGGTGTTCTTCTTCTTCATCCTGGGAGCTGCGCTCCCCTGCTGAGTGGGCACATCACCTGCAGCTAGGCTTCACGAGTGGTGCAGAGTGACGTGTTAGACTTAGGAGGGTGTGTGGCGATTGGCAGGCTTGATAGGTTGAGTGCTTACAAGCACCATATCTAGAGCTTGAGGAAGAGGGAGGAAGAAGAAGAAGACTCCACTCCTGGATCCTTCAATGAAACTTTCTAAATACTTGGTCCGCGGGTGTTGATAACGTGGTTGGGATACTTGGGAAAATGTGTGTCGCTGATTGAATTGGGAAGAGGTGTTACTTAGTACTGATTTTCAATTCAATTCTCTTTTTTTTTTTTTTTTAAGATCATCACCCGCGGAATTATGCATACTTAATAAGTTGCAGTCTTCGGGTTTAACAAAGACATTGATTTTCAATTCAATTCTATGTTGGTTATTTGTGTGCTTCCGCTGTGTGTTTTCCTCGTCTGGTTTGGTATGGATTGCTCTCTTCATGTCCACTTGTTAGTGCGCATGTGTATGGGAACACGTGGATGCCATACTGGATTTCGTTTCAATCGGGCACATAACACTGTGCTACTCTCTTTCTTCCTCCCTGCTATGCTGTGTCCCTAACCTGAGGAAGATTGCAGGTGAGTCCCCCTCCCTCTAGCGGAACGTCTGAGTTACTGGCTGTACCGCACATACTGTCCAGATACTGGCAGTATCTGGACTGAAAGATGTCTCAAATACAGCTATAATGACCGTATGTTGTATTCGGAAGAAGAAGGTAGCCTTGCCACTTCCATACCCTGTTTCCCTACTTCGTTATTCACTTCTCAGTGCTGCTGCTGTCTGTTGTTGTGGCATTAGTCACATGCTTGCCAGGTATAGACTCTGTGTTCTCACCACTGTGCAGTACACTCTGAACGCCATCGTTGTCGTGTTCTATTCTGTCCCACATGCGAAAGCGGATTGCTCCCCTATGGACATGTGCGATTTCTTTCCTATTCCAGCCGTCATCCTTCTTTTTTTTCCCCTTTTCCTTCTGTGGCATGAGACACCCTCCCTTTGGGAGTTGCCTTCTAGACGTGAGAGCACAAGTCCGATTTTTTTCCACTGGCAAATCGTCATTGTGACAGAATAGCCAAAACAAGAAGCCCACCTCCGCTATATTTAGGCTGCTGAGCCTCTTTGTCTGCCAGTCACTGGCCAAACTAGTTGGTGATTCCTCCTTGTCACAATAGTGGCATTTTTAATTCCTCTTACATGCTTTGTTCGATATATCTGTTCCGTTTGCCACGAGTAACATGTCTGATTTCTCCTTAACCAGAAGTATGTATATGGTGTTTTGTCCAGTAGACTGAATCAAGGAATGCACTTGGCTGTAGAGTGGAGACAATTGCGTAGTGTCTTGAACCTTATGGTTGCTTATCTACCCACGTTTACATAGATATACAGCTCACCTTGCTGCGAATGCCGACTTTCCTATTTGAATGGTTTAGCTGCTGATCCTGTATTCATACTAGCGTTGTTGTGAATCAAACTCAAATCTGCAAAACTCCTGTCATTGTCTGAATCTCTTGTGTTTCCTGACTAAAACTTTTGTTCTTTTGATGCTTGGGGATTTGCAGACCATTATGTCCTCAAAACACTTCAGATTTCTGACAGTTGAGGATGTGGGGGATTCGAAGCTGATCGCGAAGCCTTTGGTGCTGACAAGGCTAGCACATTTCCTCCTGGACGCCCTTCGGGTAATCCTCTCTTTTTGCGCCTCCAATCCTTCCCCTCATTCTTCTCCTTTGACTTCAGCTTAGGTTTTCTGGTTGGGCACTCACAGAACTGATTTATCAACCGAGAAATAAATGTGTGCCTTGCTGTTCTCAATGACATGGCTACTTGAATCAAGCAGAGCCTTTTAGGGGGGAAAATCTCCTCCATGACATAGAAATGTGTCTTTCTTCGGGTAATCATGTCTTTTGGGTCTCTAATCCTTCCACTCGTTCTTCTCCTTTGACTTTAGCTAAGGTTTTCTGGTTGTGCACTCAAAGAACTGAGTGGTCAGTCGAAAAATAATTGCGTGCCTTCACAGCCTTGCTGTTTTGAAGGACATGGCTACTTCCTTGCATCAAGCAGCCTCTTACGGAAAAGCTCCTCCATAACATAGACATACCTTTCTTGCCAGAGCAACAACACATGATAAGTGGACCACAATGCTGAATATGAGGAATCGCTTAGGACCCACTCTTCGTCAAATCGTCTAAGTGTATAGCAGCATCTGAACTGATATGGTTGTTCTTGTGTTACATCTTTCAGGAACAAGGAAGGGCGTCGAAGCCGCTCTCCATTGCAGCTATTGTCCCAGGCTCGGACAAAGCAATAGTTGTTGGTGTTACGCATCGGCCTCGGCTTGGAGATCGTTCTGGAAAGTGAGTTCATTCTCCAAATTATGTGGAGTGTTTTCACAGTTATTGTTTCCTTGTGCATGTGTGAAGATGCGATCTCCTCGAGGACTGCATGTGACGAAATTGTATGCATTGGTGCAGAAGGTTTGAACGAAAAGAAGAAACTCAAAAGAGAGAAAAACAAAGAGCACAGCAGAAAGACGAGATACGGCGACCAGATGAAAATTACACGCATCATGAATGAACCAAGGAAATGTACTCTTCGATTGCAGTGGACTTATGCGAAGAGCATTGGAGAACGTGTTTATGATATCCAGTTATGAAGGCTTAGTCAAGTGAGTGATGATGCATGCTCAACAACTCAGTCCCAAAATGCTTTCTATGATCATCAAGTAAGAAGTACTGATGCAGAGTTTCCTGCGTTTGGGCTTTTTTTTTTTCTCTTTTTAATGTTTCAGCAAGTTTGGAATCTATTTTCGAAAAGCGGCAGAGATGTGGGGAGGTGATTTCAAGCAAGATGGTTTCGAGTCATGCTGGTTATGGCTTGGGTCGAAAGAAACCAGCAAGTTCTGGGACATTCTTCAGGATCAGTGGATGTGAGACAGTGTTCCACTCTATTATGATCTCTCCGCAGCGCTCTATGTTATGGCAGTGTTTGCTTCAGGCACATTGTGGTGGTTCCCAAATCCCAAATCACGCCAGTGCTTCGCATCATGCTGCCTATCATGTCTTTTCTGGTGGGAGGATTCTGCTACTGGCGGTTTTTCTGGCGGTTTTACTGGCGGTTTTACTGGCGGTTGTCTGTCCGTGCGCATTCGGGGATGGTTTGCTCATTAGCAGCCTACGGACGTTTGCTGTGCAGGCAAGCAACTAACTGTTCCTAGAAAAAAAAACTGCTGTCATGACATCTTCCGTCTATGCATCTGCAGTTGTATTCTCATCAAGGTACGGCGGACTGATGCTTACCTCCTTCCTTCCATCTCTGAGCATCCTGAGCTTTGTATGGGTATACTGAATTGTATTGAGTGTGGTTCGTGGAAAAGGCATCGTAGAGAGAGCCCAGCATCAAAATGGAAGGCCGATCCTGGTCCATTCTTTAAGTGGAGAGCCCAAGGAGACCTTCTGGGTCCTTTTTATGGTAGATTCAATGTCCATCCATATACTTACAGGTGGGTTGTGCTGTTGGGTTTCATGGCATGTCATCAGTGCTTGGAAAAGAAATCTTAGAGAGCGCCCAGCATCAAAATGGAAGAGCAATCCTAGTCCCTTCTTTAAGTGGGGGGGGCACAAGGAGACCTTTTGGGATTTTTGATGGTAGATTCGATGTCCATCCGTCCACTTATAGGTGTGTTGTGCGGTTCAGGTACATGGCATGCCAGTTGAGACTCTATAGAGTGTTTATTCTGATGCAGCGGTGAGGAATTCCCCATGCGAATCAGCAGCTGCCTTCTCTCTCCTACACATGTAAATGTGCTTGTTTTCAAGCATGTAAGGAAGACACCCTTCATTAGTTGACGACCATCACAACCTTCGTCTGCAGGTGAAATTGTTGATTTGCCCATTGTTAGCCCTGGTTTAATAGCGGCATCGGGCTTTCTGAGTTTTTTGTTTAATAGCAGATTCAATGTCTTTTTTTTTTGCCGGGGCGGGGGTGGAAAGAAGAGAGGGGGGGGGGGGGGTTGGTAAAGGGAGGATGCCCACTTACAGCTCGTGTTGCGCATATGGGCTGCATGCGACGTCAGTGGATATGCAAAAGTGTTTACTCTGATGCAGTGGCGAGGAATTCCCCTGGATATGCTGGCCTGGGAATCAGCAGCCGCCATTTCTACTCTATGCAAGTGTTACTGTGCTTGTTTTCGAGCACGCATAGGAGGCGCCCTTCATTAGTTAAACAACTTGACAAGCATCACGCCCTATGCCCAGGTGAGATCAAATTGTTGATTTCCCCATGATGGGTCCTTTTTCATAAAATTGGCATTGGAATTTATTCCAGATGTGTATCCATTCCCAGCTTTGCTGCCTGTTGGTGCACCGGTTGCTAGCATTGCCTGTGGTTTGGTGGTGTTGGTTCCCCATGTTGTGTATACACATGCAATTATGACACTGGAATAGATTCCAGGAGAGGCTTGAATACTCCCAATCCCCACAGTGGCATTGCAGATCTCAGTTTTTTTTTTTTTTTTTTTTTTTTTTTTTTTTTTTTTTTTTAATAAATAATTTGGACCATTTCTCGATTTATGCGTGTCACCCTTGCACAGGGGCCATGCTAATCTTCTCTGTATTGGTCCAATGTTAACGGATGTCCCGAACGAGAGCAGATTTCAGATTTATTTTCCCTCCCAGTGACTCGTTTCGCAGGCCATACTCACACGTGAACCTTCTGCCGCTTCTGAGTATGTATCTCACTGCATTTACAACCCATCTTGTATGCATCTGGCTGCAATTACGTCCAGAGCTGATTTGAAAATTGAACTAGTCCTAGTGTCAGTATGCCCTCACTGTAGTTGCCTTCTGAGGCAGTCAATCAATGGGAGCAATATCTGTGTTTAGCTTTTTTTTTCTTGTTACTTATTTGAAGTTATTTCAGTGGTGTTCTGGATTCCTTTACAATCCAACGAGCGGCTAATTTGTTATAGGGATCAATCTGTTGATGCTATCACTATTTTCTAACCTCGTGTGCATAATGCCATTAGGAGGAGCTAGTACCTTGCCTCCCGTTTTGTGGAGCGTTATCCTGCCCTTCGACGGTTGCAGCTAGGTGTGCTAGATGGAACAGTTTCTCCTTGACAGAAATTTTGACTATGCATGTGCATTACTTTGGGGATTGCTCGAGCCCCTGAGCCATAGGGTGGCTTGCTTGAATCTTATGTGAAGGCCAATACGTTTTGATATCTGTTTGAAATGAATACCAAGGTTCCAGATGTCGAGTGATCGCTATACGCGCTTTCCTCGTCATCCAGTTTATCTATTTTTGTCTATAAAATTTACGACTCGTATGTGTCGGGAGGGGGCCATCCCATCTCACACACTGGCAGCAGATGGTAATGATCACGACAAGTACGAAGAGCGGATGATGATGATGATGATGATGATGATGAGGTGGTGGTGGTGATTATAATGATGATGATGTCGAACGTGCCGAGGTTGGTGACTCTCATCGCCAACGTACTCCCTGAGCCATTCGATAGGATCCTTGTCCTGGGGAGCAGGGAGATCTGCTACCGACATCTTGCTCTTCATCCAAGGTCCACGGGTAGTTCACTGCATTCTGAGTATGGTGAGTCTATCCCTGCCTTGTCCCTTTTGACAAGGCTTGGACCAGTGTGACGGGCGTGGATGGAGGCTCTGCGTTCTTTTGCTCTGATTCAGACGCCGTTGCCATCGGCTTCTAACTGCAGTGTCGTACTCCTGTTCTCATTTTTTGTTTTTCGTTGTTCTTCATTTGTTTGTGTCTTCCTGCGCGGTCTGCTAGAATTCTACTATACCCAAGTTTGGGAATACCTTGATGTCGGCTTCTCACACTGCATGTTGTTGCATCGATCATCCTGATTTCCTGTAAGAAAGGAGAAGACATGGTGGCTATGTGCTATGGTGGCTATATGCTATGTGCCATGGTGGCTATGTGCTATGGCGGCTATGTGCTATGTGCCATGGTGGCTATGTGCTATGTCGTGCAGGAGGATCGCAGTGGATGCCGTGTGGGAAGTGTTGTTCATACTGCAACCCTGCAGGGGCGGGGTGGTTATCCCTACTGGCGCAGTTCCACTTGTAAATACCGCGTCATGGTAGCGGTGGTGCCTCATTGTTGGGCCCAAAATCGGGGCACGACAAAATCTTCCAGTACGGAACAACAGCTCGGGCAACTCAAACGGAAGGTTTAGTCACACAAGGACGATGGTTTGGTTACACGGCTTGTTTCCACGGACATGGAAGTTTTCCGGGAGCGCTCATGTCGGGCGAGCGTCGCATGGAAAGCTTGTAGCACCATGATAGCCCAACCTCAACCGATGATACGAACAGTAATCCCCCTTCATGCACCAGACAACTGGTGGCTTCGTGCTACATGTGCCGCCAACCAGAGAACAACCGTAAGGTCCGGATAAGGAAGGATGATTTGTTGGGTGAGATCAAAGGAATCAATTGATGTGGACCCCCTAACCCCCAAAGTGACAAATGTCACGGAGGTTGTACAAGTGAAATTACCCAGCACGCTGCAATGCATTCCTGACATCTGCATCACAGTAGATACCATCTTCATCGGCATATGGGACCCGAGGAAGGCGAATACGGCACACATAGGTAAGATTAGAGCACAAGCATTAACCTGTGCCAGAACCTAATGCAGAAGGATCCATGCAACCATGCAATTGATGTGGCCAACACACAAGCAATCAGTCGATGGCAAAATCTACCTCTTTAGAGTACACACATCGACGGAAGATCAAAGAGGTGATCGTGCTATGAAACCGCGCATTCGTTGAACGCGCAGGTCCCGTTAAACCGCTACCTTTCTCTTCTTTTTTTTCTTTTTTTTTATTTGGACCATTTCTTGATTTATGTATGGCATCCTTGCGCAGGGGCCATGCTAATCTTCTCTGTATCGTTCCAATTTTAACCGATGTCCCGAAGGACACCACTACCTTTCTCAACCTTGGGAAAAATGGGAATATACGTCACACGAACTAACACCGCTTTTTTCGGGGTTACAGGCTTGGCAAAAACGAAATGTTTGGGCCTTAGGGGCCCACCTGAAAAAGAAGAAAAGAAAAACGAGACCGGAAGTTCGAGGTCGTATGTCGGGGAGCAGGTTTGGCAAAAACGAAATGTGTGGGCCCTAGGGCCCCACCTGAAAAAGAAAAAAAGAAAAGAAAAACGAGACCGGAAGTTAGAGGTCGTATGTCGGGGGAGGTTGTATGTCGGGGAAGGCCGTGAATGACCTCTGCTCACTTAAATACTTCAAATAACGCATCTGCTGGGATTCTGCCCACTATTTGGGCTAGTTTCAGCTTGGCTTACTCGTTTTTGTTTCTTTTGTTATGTTTTGTTTTGCTGCCCTGCCAGCAAGGCAGGGTGCAATCCACGGGCTACTGACACTAAGTCACCAAGGGGACACTCACAGTAGTACGGCTGCCGATGATGTATCTACCCGCTTTCCTGGGTATAATGGGTAGTTTCAATTTTTTTAATTTCTTTTTGGTTCTCTCGTGCACCTGACAGCGCTGTTGTAATGCCCTCACTGAGGGCACATTCACACAAGCACTTCACGGATTGAATCTAATTTGCCATGACGTCCAAATGGTTTTTCCTTTTTTTTTCTGCGTGTTTTCTTTGGACTACACCTCGCCGCTGTAACGCACACTTTTCTTTTTTGTATTTGGGCTGATTTTTTTTTTTTTTTTTTTTTTTTTTTTTTTTCGCAGTAGTAGCACAAAAGAACACAACGAGACCCAGGCTTGGCAAAACTTGGCGCGCAGTGAAAATCAGGGTCGGCAAAAACAGGCTTGGAGGTAGTGGTGGTTTAAACCACCAGTACCTTTCTGGGTGTTGGGAAAAACGGGAATATACGTCACACCGCATTTTTTGGGGCTCCCCAGGAGGCTCGGCCAAATGGAAGTGTTTTAGGCCCCATGGGCCTGCCTGTTATGAAAAAAAAAAGAAAAAGAAAAACGGGAGTCCATCTACCCAGATTCTTTGCTAGTTTCATTTTTCTGTT